CCCCAAAACCCCAAAACCCCAAAACCCCAAAACCCCAGATAAAGAGAACACATTGAAAGATATTGTTATTTTAATATCACTTATTCCTATATATAGCAATAATAGAGGTATTTAATTAAGAGTAGGAAGAGGTACGATGATACACAGTTCACAAGTAGTTTTAAGAGATAAACTTGCAGTTCTCACTCTTACATAACCTATTATTAGCATAGATTCATGGCCAGCTATTCTTCTAGCGAGAATGAAATAACAAGATTATTTCCTTTGCGTTTCATACTTCTTTATAAAAATGTGCTGCTTGAAGCAAATCTATCTAGCCCATTCATTTTTGTGTGGCAGCTTTTAAACCCAATCAAAGTTGAACCCAAGTTATCTCTTCTGCATTCACGAGGAGATATCCAACACTCTAATGCAAAGCTTGCCGAAGTTTCACTAAAGAGAGTTATGCGCATTAGGATGTAGCATTGCAGTGGATCATGCTAACAATGTTTGCCGGTCTTTGCATGATACAGTGTTTGTATGGGACTCCATCGTCGGTTATTAGTAAAGGCAAATCTTCTAAGGAATCTAGAGTAATGAAGGAGAAGTGTATAAAGTCTGCTAAAGCAAAAGGTAAAAGAAATTAAAAGCCGACACAGATTCTAACACTCTGTAGAAGCCTCTAACTGCTTTCATGCTTTGCATCAACAAAAGAAGAGCTAGAGTCATTAAGAAGAATCATGGAATGAAGATCACTGAATTCTCGACTATCATCGTCAAAGAATGCAAGGAACACACTGACTTCAAAAAATTCCGAACCTCATGCTTTCCATAGATCAGGAAAGAAAACACAACTAAGCCAAGCTGATTTCCGATCTCAAATCTTCCAAATCCAAGAACTAACTTAATGCTTACTTTACCGGCACAAAACTGAAGCTATGTACAACGTATCTATTGCCAATCAAAAAATGACGAACACAGAGCTGCTCAAGAGTCAGACATGTGACTCTGGCTCGCAAGAAGAGAAAGAAATATAGTGATAGAGGAAACACTTTTCGCTCATCCAGAGACTAAGAACCTCCGAAGAACCAGAGACACAAGGCTAAGTGAGTCTAAATCATGCTTTAAACACAGAGCTTCAACACTGATTATTCAACAATTTAGAATCTTAATGGGGTTTTGGGGTTTTGGGGTTTTGGGGTTTTGGGG